TTTGTGAATATGCCCGCCACAGAATTGCCAAAGGGATCACAGCCCAAAAGAGTGCCTAAGGGTAGAGTTTATTTAAATTAGAAAACAATCTTTAAGCAAAAGAATATGAATCCATGATAGTAGTTTCCATCTTATGGTTTAGAGAGAGATCATCAAAAGGACTATGAGTTTTGTTTTTTTAATTCTTGAAGGATGATAGTTAAGGCCAAGAAAAACATCTTAGATTTATTTTGTGGTTAAGCACCATAGTTTTTATTTTTGGCTTTAAAATTGGATTAATTTGTTTAGCTTCAAAAACATTCTTTTAAATGGATTCAGTTGGCCATTTATTTGTTTGTTTTATTGGTGAATAATGAGCTCAAGGTCTTGGCTTGCAAGCCTATCTTGCTTTCTTTAGAACTAGATATAAAAATAAAAATAAAAAAGGAACATACTCAGAATTATGCTTTGCTGATTCCACTAGAGCTTGTTTCTAGTAAAATATCTTTATTTATAGTAGGCAGTTGTCCCTTTATTATCAGTGATAAAGATGAAGAAAATGCAGTTAAAAAAAAACAAAACTTTTTAAATTTGTATTTGTGTGCCCAAATCTAAACTGTGAATCTGCGTTAACTTTAACTCTCAAATGTAATTTCCCTATATTCTCTTCACTTGCCTGCCTGTTCTAATGAAAAAAAAAAAAGTTTTCAAAATGAAGTTTCAGAATAGTCAGTAGGTGAAAGGACTACCCATGCATTCATTTTGTTTGCTCTATTCTAATTGAGTTATCATTATTTGTTATTTAAATTATGTATAAATTTTACATAAATGCTAAATAAATGTGGGCACCCCACACTAAAATTACATTGGCTTAATTTTTGCCTAATAACACCAATTGGAACTATCCAATGCTACCAATTTCCAACACTCACAGGTGGCTCTAAAGGATAAGATAGCTGATGTTATTTAATGATGCTGAAAGAGGTAGCTTCACAAGGAAGATGTAGCTTCACAAGGAAGGGTGTACAGTTCCCTCCAAAACAATTGCAGGTCATACATAAAAGTAGCCAGTTTAGATTCCATCCAATACTCACACATGAAACCCTGAGTACAACACAACTGAAAAAATCCAGAATAACCTCTTTAATCCAGATCTCACTTGGCTGATATTGCTGAATGCAAATAAAGAATGAATTTGACTGAACACGAGTTAAAGCTGCTATTAAGGTTTACCTCATACCAGTAAGAGTGGTGAAACATCAATACTTCACCGCTCTTATTGCACCCACAGCTGTAATACCACTCAGCGATCCTGTTTAGGGTCAGCGAGATTCTCCTTGGAAAAGGTGATCCAGAAATCCACCCACAGGGCTGTTCAGATAAATTTTCCAGGAGGATAAAATCTTTAGATGCCATATGTGGTGCAAGTCCTGTGGAGATGCTCAGGGAGCAGATTTATCCAGGTATCTGGAAACCGTTTGTTTCTGTTGAGCCTGAGGAAGTGGACAGGCTCTGTGGAATGCAAATGCCAACATCTATGCCTCTCCTGGCTGGTTACAGCCTCTCAGAAGGTAATGGTAATGGCATTGTTCACTGCCTTTTAAAGAGAAACTGATATGTCTCCTACTCAAGAAACCATTGCTGGACTCTCCTATCCTGGACAATTTTTATCCAGGCTACCCTTGAAAAGTATGCCCTAAGAAAAATACACATTACACCTCTGCTCCGTGAACTGCATTGGGCTCCAGTGCTTCTGGGTCTATTCAAGATGTTGATTATGACCTATAAAGCCCTGCATGGTATAGGGCCAGGCTATCAATGGAACCAGCTTCATCCCATTACACTGGCCCATCCCACCAAATCAGGCAAGGAAGATGTGTTGTGGGCCCTATCAGTTAAAGAACTTTGACTGGCAGGGCCTCGGAGGAGAGCCTTCTCTGCCATTGCCCCCACCCAATGGAATATTCTTTCTCTGGAAGCAAGGTAGGCCCCCACTCTTTTGGCCTCCAAAACATGACTTTGCCTCATGTGAGGATGCCACTCAATCACAGGGTTGGTTCATGCCACAAGAGTTCTCCCTTTATATTTTTTTACATCTCAAAAACCTGGTATTTTACATCCACTTCTCTAACCCTCCAAGTCTACTTTTAATAGAGTAGCTTCTAGAAGGAACGTGCTTCTAGCTTTTACTCCCTTCTCCAAGTGTCCCATTCCTAGATTTATTATCTTTTTGGCTCCTAGAACTCCTGTTCCTATGTTCTTCCACCCCTAGAGAACAGCATCTCTTTTCTCTTTTTGCCTCATGCACAAAAGGAGATGTTCATCCAGCCAACCTTCCTTCCCATTCTTCATTTTTGGCACTTTGATCCCTTCTCCTTGGCTAACTTGGGTTTCTCCTTCTTTTCAGTCCCTGTCCTGTTTTATCTCTTAACTGGTAACAATCATGGCTCAACTACTATAATGACTCTACTATAAATAATTCATTTCCTTCTGAAAATTCTTCTATTATTCTTTTTTCCTTCGGTATTCAATTTAATCTAATGCTTCTTTGCAATCCATTTTGTTTTACCTCAGTTGTGTCCTTCACTACTATTCCATATCAGTTATTCCTCTTTCTTCCCACATTAGATAAGGCTCAAGGCATTGGGGAGGTGGTCAGACCTTGTCCTCTTGTATACATAAGACTGTTTGAGCCCTCCCTCTCTCTCCCCTCCCCACTGGGAAGGTTGCTGCCCAATAATTATCCATCCACTCCTTTGAATGCTCTTCTTGGACTGCTCTCAAGCTTGCTGTGCAAGACTCCTACTCCTCTACTTCTTAAAGCAAACTACTGGAGTCTGAGTCCATTGCCAGCCAGACACAGACAGCCCTATAGGGTTCTCCCAGCAGAGTCCAGATTCATCCTCCACACTCATAAGGCACTCAAGGAGGCTGATGGAAGCATCCATTAGGACAGGTAAATATTTATGCTTCTAATATAGAATAATTTTGTGTGTACAGTATAAAATCAACAAAAAGAGGTTATAAAACTATATTACCTACCTACCTTCCTTCCTTCCTTCCTTCCTTCCTTCCTTCCTTCCTTCCTTCCTTCCTTCCTTCCTACCTACCTACCTACCTACACAAACACATATCTTTCTCAGAATATCCATTAATTTCACACATGAATACATTCCATGCAAAACAGCACAGGTGGGATTTTTCTGATATTCTTCTACTGTTTGTCTTGGTGCTTTTGCCAAAAAGCTTTAAAGGTGGAACACCATGCTTTATATACTTAGTCTTTTCAATTTGTATTGAGTGGGAAGTAAGTCTAAGATATATAATACAAACTAGCATGATAGTGTTGGCAAACTTCATGCCTTCAATACATGATAGACCTTCAGTTTGGGAAAAACCTCATTTTTAATTTCAATTTAATAATGGAAGAAAAGAATTATGAATAAAGAAGAGCAAATCAAACTAATGCAGGCAGTTCACAATTTCTGCTTTGATCAAAAATTAAGTCTAAATGTAAGAAGTTTAATCTAAACTTATGTAGAAAAAAGTTTTGTTTTATGAGGGCAAGGTGGAGGAGTTTGACATATGTAATTAAAAGAACGTTCCAGTGCATTGTTTTATAAAGTGGGTTTGAAAAATGGGATAAATAGGTTATTGTTTAAAGCTTGTAGAAATATTTTGAAATTAAATTTGGAAAGTATTTATATTAAGAGGAAAAGGGAAAGATAAGATTCTGACCTTCCATTTTTCTTTATTTTTTATATAAGTAATTCTTAAAGTTTGCAAAATATTACTGAAAATGTATGTATGTGAAAAGAAAGTTTTAAAAGATGCATTAATTGATGATGATTATAAAGATGAGATTTCTTAAGAAATGTTTAGAATCTTAAAATGAATATAAAAGACTTTTCTTTTTAAGGTAATATTTGAAAGAATATGATTTTTGTTAATCTTTGTAAACTATCATCATCCATATTAATAAATGTAAATAGAAATATATTATCATTTCCCACAACAGGAAGAAAATGGATTTAATTTAGTTGCAATGTAAACTGTTTTTAAACAAAGAAATTTTATTTGGTCTTGCATCTATTGGGACAAGCTTGAAATAGGAAAATAAAATTAGAATTTGGTTTGAAGCTTTGATGATTGTGTAGTGCCTTGTGTGGCTTGTAATGATTATAGGCAATGCAAAAAGTTGAAGTTGTAAATGTATTAGTATTTTATTGTTTTGGAAAGAATCAAGAGGCAACACCTTTTTTTCCTCTCCTTTTTTAAATTCTGCCCTCCCCCTTTTAATCTTCATTGTATTTTATGCTATAATAAATCTTGATAGAATTTTCATTTTAAAAAAAAGTTAAGTCTAAACTATATAGTTTTAGAAAACAATAGTCTTGTTTAAACAATGCTGCATAGTGGTGGGAATCCATGGGAATTGTTTTATAACTTATCTGAACTATACATCTGGAAAAGAAGAAACTACATAATAATGTTCTTTAGATGAACCTAAAATATTGATATTATTTCTGTGTTCTGCCATGTTATGTTCACTTTTCCCATCATTTGTTTAGACAGTCTATATTAGTATATGACTAAAGTATTAAGAATTAAAAGCAACCTAGAGAAAATCCCAAACAGCAAATTGTATTTAGAATGAACCTCCAAAGAAACATAAAAAAGGAAAAAGGTTTTAATTAGCTGGAATGATCCAAATGCAGATTCTGCGGAAATGGTTGCCCTAAAATAACTATTTTTGCCTATTGTTACTAATAGAATGTATTTCCAAGGCATTGTATTTTGGGCTTCAGCCTTTGTTCTTCTAGAATAATGTAAAGTTTTAATGTAGAGTTGTGCTTGGCTTTACTGGGATATATAGCTTGCTGCTTTTTCATTAGGAAAACTTCTGCAGAATTGACTCCATGTCTCTAAGGAATTTACAACATTAATTCCCTTCTAGATACTATCTGTGTTTATGACCTTTTGTTGGGATTCCAAACTGATATTTAGACTTTTGATTCTAGATGTCCACACAGAAGCAGTCCAGGCAGCCCTTGCAAAACATAAAGAACGGAAGATGGCAGTACCTATGCCATCCAAGAGACGTTCGCTGGTGGTGCAAACATCAATGGATGCCTACACCCCTCCAGGTAAGGACATGTACTAAAGGTATTACACTTGGATTTCAGAAGCTAATTTGAGCACTCATAACAGTAAATAGGTGTAGATGAATATGTAAGGTAAGAACCCTGCCATGTGAGGTTACAATAACCTTGTCTGATTCATCTCTTTCTCACATTTGATGCATCTAATTTTATGTTATTTATTAAAGCCTTTACTTGAGCAGCAAGCCTCAACTGGCTATACTGGGATAGACTGGTACATAAGAATCTTAGGAAAGAAAGAGCATCCTGGCTTCCTGCACAATTAGACATGGACCTCTCTTCTTACAAGCTACAGAAAGAACATCGATTTTATTCTAACTTTCCAAGAAAAATTAAATAAGAGTTTAAAAAAAGAAAGAAAAAGACTACTCAGGTTACAGTGCAGTAGCTTGGGAGTATCTTTCCTATTGTACTTCATAATTTGGGAGCAGATTTCTTGATAGGTGGATATAGATGCATAGAGAATGCTAATGTGGCATTTTAAAGTCATTTTAGTGTGGCCTTTTAAAGTACACATACCTTGTTTGCCGATAGCATTATGGCAGGATAGATTTGATTTGCATACTTCACCTGGCCAGAGCCCGGAAATCATTTTGCAACAGGAAGTCTTTGTGTTTTTAGCCAATTTCCAAGGTACTTAGTTAGGCTAGAATCCTTTAAAAAATGAAATAGCTTTACAAGTTATTGGAAGTTTATTGTGTTTTTTGTTTCATGAACAAAAGCACATTAAACAAAAACTGACATCATATCTCATTGTTGCATGGTGATCTGGTGAGTTCTGAGGACTATAAAAAAAGAGACCAGAGAAATGGATGCAAGATATGGATTGCTTCCATTTCTTTACCAAAGTTGACACATATTGTCTCTATTTTTAGGCTTTTATTCCTCTCACTTTGCAAATATTTTGAGATATCCTCTGAAATAACCATAATATGAATATGAAGAAATTTGTAGAGTGCTGTTTCTGTTGCTGTGTGTTATTCACTTAATTCTGCCGTATTAAACAAAGTCCATTTAGTTCAAGATTTTGAGTTCCCACTGTGGCCAAACCAGATATTCTTCTGCTGTAGTTTTATAGCATCTGGTGTTTATTGCATGCTGTTACTAATGTTAGAGAATTGCTACTTTGGGGATGGAAATGGTTTTAGAATAAAGCAATGATTCTGACTAAATTGTGAATAATACAGCAACATTTCCTGTTTTGATATAAGTTCTAAATCAAGATATCTAGAGGACATCAAGTTGGAGAAAATTATTGTAATAGCTCAGTTTTGTTGTATGAATACCTCAGTATATTTAAAGTTATGCCAACCACTTAAACCCTTAGCTCAGCAGAAAATGGTTCCTGAATTGTTTTGAAAATTTCTTGGACACCATTGCAATTTGAACTGAACTCTTTGGCTTTGGGTCAGTGCCTGAATACTGCAACATAAAATCTTAGCCCAGAGTTTTGCTTTGCTTTTGTCTGCCATGCTAGATACCTCCTCTGGTTCGGAAGATGAAGGTTCTGTGCAGGGCGATTCACAGGGAACGCCAACCTCAAGCCAAGGGAGTATAAATATGGAGCACTGGATCAGCCAAGCCATCCATGGCTCAACCACATCTACCACTTCTTCATCCTCAACACAAAGTGGTGGCAGTGGGGCTGCACATAGGCTAGCTGATGTTATGTCTCAAACACATATAGGTATGTATGGACCGCTTTTTTTTGTTACATATATTTCTTATCTGTTAATTAGTTGTATTTATAGGTATTATTTCACAAATATTTCAAAACACAATGTAACTTTAAAGGAAAAACATTTCACTGTTTTGGAGAAATATTCAAAAATGCCTTTTCAAGGACACTCAGCAGACGTACCGGTATATCAGTGCCAGATGTGTTAAAATATTCATTTTTTTAAAAACGTTTCTCTGTTTCCTTTAACTATGAAATACCATTCAGACTAGAAATTCTTTATCTCCCCTCCCCTAGTTTTTTTTAAAACAATTCTCTTACACTATTAATTGAAGGTCATATGTTCTTTCAAAAAACAAACAAACCCAACAATGAGTGGAAGAGTTCCTTTTTTAAGGCGAAATTTTATCATGTAGTATTAAATATTTTTAATAATACAATACTGGATAAATCAAATATTTAATGGCATATGTTGGTGGGGGAGGGAACAAGTTCTATCAAAGGCATGAAATTATTAAATGTTCTAACCAAGACAATTTCTTGAGTTAAAGCACTATAACAAACTACAACTCTAATTTACAAGCCATATATTCATACAGTTTGAAAATTTGCAGCTAAAGAGAATTATGGGTTAGCATGACAGATAAAGCCAACTAGTTTTTGCATTTCTTAGTTAGATCATAACTAGATATTTAGAGATCACCTTTTCAATTTGATGGCATGAGGAGAAGATATCTTTTAATGAAAGGCCTACGAGTAAATCAATTTGTTTATGCTGGAAGAGAACACAATTGCACAAACTGAAATAAGAACCTTTTAAACAGAAAAAAATGCTTGTTCTCAAAGTATGGATTGCTAATAATATTAAAAGTGTGTAACTCATATGACTGTTTTACTGTTTGCAAAATAAGAGTTTGAGGAAAACCAACCAGTCACTTCATTCATGCTTTAAAGTAAAATAAGACATCAATTTGTTGTCTCCACAACATCAATCAGGAATAACAATGTACTATTAATGACAAAAATGTTCATATTTCCATTAAGGAAATACATTTTATAGGTTACTCTGCCAGTGGGAAGTGCCTCATTATAACAAGCCATTGCATTTTGAAAGTACTAATTGTGATCAATATGAATGTTTAAAAGAAAGCACTCACCACCTCTGACTGCAAAGAGGATATTTCCAATCTGAAGGGGAAACTAACCTTCTAAGCCACATGTGAAATATCATTAACTTCTTCAGGTAATATATCATCCCCAACAGGAAGTCTTGGGAGGTTGAATGGAGATCATAATGTGAAATATGAACAGGGCCTGGAGTGCCAATATTTTTTTTGCAAGGTTATTGAGACCTTTTTAATGTTGTGTTTCTTTCTTGCATTGTGGTGCATCCATCCTAAAAGATGTTCAACCTCTGAGCAGAAATAGCTTGTCTTTTTGCTGCTACTGATGATAACTTTAAAAGTGAAGCACCTTTCAAGTGAGGAAAAGCACTTATAACAGATTACTTGTTACCTGCCCATCACTTATTGGTAAATTAGAACTTAAGATGGAAGTCAGTGGCTTGCTAAAGGAAGGAAGCACTCACACTAAAAAAACTATGTGCAAGCTCATTGAAGATAGAAGTGGAAAGACAAATATTACTAGACTCTGTTTGATAATAGACATTGGTTTTATTTGACTTAGTCAAGAAATTGTGAACTACCATTCTCTGGGATTTTCCTCTGATTTAAGCTATTATGTCTTCCATAAATACCATTTAAATTCAACACATTTATTCAAGGAAATTCCTAAATTACAATTATAGTATGTGCTTAATCATCCCTGCAGCTTTATTAAATTAAGGAAGTCCCTTCCACCATCTTTCTTTTGGTCACTGTTAAATTCTTCATGAATTACAGAGAAAACTATTCAATAACTATTCAGTATTTGTTTAGGAAGAAACATTTACAGCAACTTGAGTGCATAATTTATCAGAAATAAAACATTGCTGTGATCCTGTAGGTTTTTATTTTTGTAAAACAAAAGCAGGCGGCACAATGGCCAGGTTAAGACACTTGAGCTTGTCAGCTGGAAAGACAACAGTTCATGTTTGAGACCCAAGCACCATGCCATGGGGTGAGCTTCTGTTACTTGCACCAGCTCCTGCCAACCAAGCAATTTGAAATCATGCAAATACAAGTTGATAAATAGGTACTGCTTTGATGGGTAAGATTACTATGTTCCATGCTGGCCACATAATGATGGAAACATCTCAAACAACATAAGCTCCCATGACTGAGAATCTGAGATGAGCACCACCCTCTTTAATTGATCACAACTGGACAGGGGAAAGCTTTAAACTTTAAAATAAAAGCATTGCTAAAAGATTGTTGTTAAGATTTATAACATTAAGTTTAGTGGTATATTATAAGAATACAGAAATCCTAATGACTTTATGGCTTGGTTTTCACATTATTCTTTAAGTTACAGTGTAACTTGATTTTTGCTTAATGTGGAGTATGAACCCACTTATTGTGATAAATAAATCATAGGTTGTGGTTATGTGTGAATCTGCCCAATTACACTACATTATTAAACAGACTATTGCTTAGATGAACCCAGTCTTTAGAAATTCATGCAAAGGAAAGCAAATGAACCCAGAAATATCCTTTCAGTTTTTGTTTTCTATTTTCTACAGTTCACAAAACTTCAGAATACAGTATTGCAGCTTCCTATAAATATATTATTTTAACATATTACTCTATTTTTGTTCTGCAGCTTGCCTTCCACTAGCATAGCAATTAATTCTGAGTGACACCCAATTTACAGATATTGATCTAGACGTTAGAAATCATGATGGTATTGATATACAGTATATTGCCTGATAGCTCAGAGGAAAATGTGATTTAATTAAGAAAATGGACACCAATTAATGATCATTATTTTAATGAAGATGATGATTCTTTGGTAATTGATAGACATTGAAAGTAAAATACAGAAAATGGCAATGTTTACAGAAGAAGGTAAAGAAGGTAGTCTTCAAATCTAATGTTTGTGTTCCTGAGCTGGTAAATTTGGATTAAGAAAAATTCTTCATTTAGCAGTTAGAATCAAAAAGAGGAAATTACAGTCCATTGCAGTGCTTATTTTTGATAAGGAAAGGGTAATTACATTCTGTCCAGAATTTCAAAGTATAATCAGAATTGGCAAGATACAGCATGTAATTTCATTGACTCAGAAAAGTTGTCCTTTTCAAAATGGCAAAATGTGTAACAACCATTATTGAAATTCAAAAAATTTGTCGTATGAGTATAAGTCTTTTTATTTAACACTAATAAAATTGCTCTTTTATTATTTGGCTTCTAAAATAAATTGTAGAATGTGTGCATCTTTTGGACACAGGTTATCCATGTGTTATTTCATTTATTAAATTATCTTTATTCAACATTTCTTTCATAAATGATGAAATAATGCACATATTTCTCATATATACAAAACTTCTGTCACAGGGAAACACATAGCCTAAGGTTGTCCATGGGCTTTGTGAATGATTTCACGATGATTTCATTCTGGATTTAATTCCTTAACAAGGTGCCTTCCAGACGTCCTGATTTCCAATATTCATATCTGAACAGTTCTGGAATTAAGAAAATTGTAATATTTTGGGATTCAGCATGCCTGAGTGACTGAAGACTGTCTGCTTTCCATACCCAAATTGATCCCAAATGTATAAAATCAACCATTTCTTAGAATAAAAGAGCTGAAGTCGACATGTCTAAATGGGATATAGGTTGGAGAAGACAGACCTATTTGTTTTTTAAAAAGAGACCTACTCTCAAAGTAAGCTTCTAGAGAGAATTAAGCTTTTCTGAATTTTTTCATCGGACCAGAGAAAATGGAAAACTGTTCACAATTTCATGTATAATTTGCTTTTCATGTAACTCAACTGTTTTTTTCCTGTTAGAGTTTTTATTTTAAAACCAAAATTTCCAACTGCCTCTGCAGTTAGGATCTTTTTGTATTAACTAAACTAGAAGTTGAAATAATTTGACCCATGAGTACACACAACATGGTAAGCCATACTGGGAGACTTAATAAAGAATTCCTGGATTGTGGTTTCTGTATCCAGCTGTGCGGCATGGATCTTAGCCACTTTTTGCAGTTGCTGGCCAGCCGATGCTTCCTGCTTTGTTTATTATATTAAAGGAAGAGACAGTTGACAGCTAGTCCTAGGAAGACTGCAGGCACTCTAAAGAGACAACAGAGCTAACCCTTCTGAAGGGCTGTTAATTTGCAGCCACTCCTCTTTCCCTGGAGCCCTTATGGCTGCTTCACCAAAACCTTGCCCTTCTCCCAAGTCCAGATGACATGGCAGGACAGTGGTTCAGAATAAGCTCCGCAGAACCAAGCTTTAGATACAAATTATGGTTAATAGCTGGGATTTAGACACTAGGCTAAGTTAAATTGTATTGTTTGAACTATTATATATCCATGAATCATTTTAGTAAGAATGTATTCAAATTAAAATGTTTTTAAAATGTACCCTAAAGTACAACATATTAATTGCCATTAGGGAACTGTACATGGCTGATGCTTTATTTTGAATTTATATTAGAATGTCTCTGAAAGTGCCTGTGGCAGGTTTGTAAAATTTTGGGGCAGAGAAGACAACATTCATGTTTACAGGTCCCAGGCATGAAAATATATTATTGGCATAGGTTTAGTTAAAAATCTTTCATTGCATGCACACAGACATATATATATATATGTATGTATGCATATGTACATGTACATGTATATGGATATGCATGTATATATGTATATGCATATATATGCCAAATGGTGGCGCATATATATATATATATATATATATATATATATATATATATATATATATATGCACCATCATTTGGCATAATTACTGCTCTTGTAATATGCATCAATGAGTCTGGATAGCATTCATTTTTCCACACATGTGGTTATTTAACATTATCATTTGACTAGTGCCATTGATTAGAGACAAGATG